CCTTTCCGCTCGCTTCGGAGCAAATTCGTCATGGTCGCTGCAGTATTAGCCAATTTCATTGCCAATGAATGGTGCAACCAACTTTCGCTTTGCCTTATCTTGTTCAAGTCACAAAGAATGAGCAGTGGGCTCGCTTCATTTTAATGGCGAATTCCACTGGGCGTTTTGGAGCGCGCCTGGATCAGTTGACCAGATCCGGATTGGAGCACACGATCCGAACGGGGTCGCGCCGCCTACGGATCCCCAGGGGAACATGACCACTGCTCCGGGATCGGCGGATGCCTTCCCGTCATTCAACTGCCCGGGAATCCCCTTTCCGCGGCCGCCGCGGTCGTTTCGAAGACGTTTTCGCAATCGCGGCGCTAACACATGTTCGACGCACGAGCGGCAGGAATGGCTCAGGCGCTTCTAGCAAAGATTGCCGGAATGCCCGTAGCGCGGCAAATAACTTCTCTTCTCCTTCCTGGAAAACGAACCGGCTGTCGAGCCAAGGGGTAAGCAAGCGGCCATTACGAATTCTGCTGATGTAGAGACAATCTAGGAGCCCAGCCCGCGACGTGGTTCTTCTGAGGCGAGATGGGCGAGATCAGGCGAGATGCCCCACGAAAAAGGAAGTCACGTGTGTGCGCCGAGGGCTGGCCCGGCTGGCTTCCGGTTGAATCCGCCGAAATTGTGGGAGCGACTTTTGTCGGATCCAGATCGAGATCTGGAGCGGGAGCTAATCCAAAACGACCAGTGAAACACGTCGGTCTCGATCCCGATCTCCCAGTGAAATAGGCTCGCTCCAGAAAAGTTGATGCCGGCGCGCTCCAAAACGACTTGTGGAATTCGCCAATCTTCCCTGATTCTGGCCGTTCCTAAGCCTATAGACCTTTGTCCGGAAGTGCTCTTTTTAGCCTCGACCGCAAGGAGCAAAAGCGAACAATATTCTCGAACCCAGACGCTCACGGCAAAGGGGGGAAGGGGGGGGGGGGGGGGGGGGGGGGGGGGGCTGCGTCGGCCTGCGCCGCTGCTTCCCACTGCGGGCTTCTTCGCTGGTGTGCCGACTGCCGCTTCGCCGGCATCGGTCCTGTTTACCGCGGTATGTGAGTATAGTGCCCGTAATGTGAGAGCCGTTTGTCCATTTGCCGCTGTTGGTTTCCATCTAGGCGAGCCAGAAAACGTATCGCGACGAGTTGACTGCGCCGGGAGTGACGAAGAAAAAGCAAACATGGCGTCGGTTTGTACGATTGCTTTGGTGGCTCCGGTGTTGCGTGTCTTCAACGTCCTCGTGAGAAGATTCCCCTGCCCTTCGATTTCGAAGTTTTTGCAAGCACCACGAGTGGCACGAAAGATGTGGAATTACCGTCTCAACCACAAATAAGCAGGCCTTCACGAGCAACGACGATACCGAGCAGGCGCTTGGCACCGTTGTGTCGTCAGATGTTCTACAACGCCGAGGTATTTTCATTTATCATTTGGAATGGCTTCAAGAGTGGGAAATTAATCTATTTCGCGGATTGTTAACGCCGAGGCGAGTGCCCTCCGTTGCAGTGCTGTTATCGCGCAAAGTGCAGAGAAAACCGGGTGGCGATGGCGGCGGTGCTCTTTGATCGCTTTGATCTTGCGCCGTCGGGTTCATGGAGTACGGAGTAAACGTACGTACTGTACGTGCGTCTGCTGGATCGGTGTTTTGGACTGCCTCAAAACTCTTTCCCACGCGCATTTTCCTTTTGAAGCTTATGGCCATTTCGTCTGGGCCCGCACCGCACCCGTCCGGTGCAGTAAACTCTTTCCACTTTAGTACACGAAAGACTGGCGGGGAGAGAGGGAAGCTCCCCTCTGCTCTCTAGCCTTCCGTGTACCACGAACCGCTCTGCACCGGTGCGATGCGGGCCCAGGCGAATTAGCCATTAGTAGCTCATTGCACCTCGTCGTCGACTGTGCTCATTTGACTACGACGCACGAGCCTGCGTGATGTGAATTTCACTGCCTAAGATCTTTGGTGTGCTGTAACGAGCGCTAATAAAATATCACCGCGAACTTCTAAACAAACGAGTCGAAGTTTCGTCGGCTATCATAACTGATCGCCTGTCACAATATTAATCAGTAGCGTTCCTAGACTCCGCCCCCCACAGGCACCGTGCTTCGTTGCCCGATAGTAAGTGTCTCCTGGTACCCTCGTAGAATTCCAGCTCCCACTTCAAGTAAGTACCATCCTTTAGAACTGGCAATTAATAGTTTCGAACCCAGACGCTCGTATCGCAGCGTGTGTGTGTCTGGGGGGGGGGGGGGGGGGGGGAGGGGGGGGGGGTACGCGGGCTAACATACTCGGAGCCCTCGTTTACGCGGCTTCGCGGTGGCAGACATGGCGGCACATTACAAAAGAAAGCTGATCCGAGCTGTCTATGTAACTAGACCCATTCGCTAGTCATTCGATGAAACGTCGGGGTCTCGTTTTCATTCGCTAAAACGTCGCTCGATCAAATGAACGCCTCCCACTTATTTCGGCTCGGCAGAGCCGCGCTGCCGCAGAAAGGCAAGCAGATCGCGAAAATCGGTCTCAAACGTGCCACGAATGTAATGTCGTATACAAGAAGTCAACAATCAAGCATTTGAAAGCTACAAGAAAGCGGTAGCGAAATATTTACTACACAATGAACCCGGACTGAAACGCGGATGCCAAGGGTCAACAGACACCGAGAGCATCTAAGACAAGAAAGGTTTTCCCTTGTTTTCTAGATCGAGATGAGTTCTCGAAGTTCACGACATCTTATATGTTGAAGAACGGGCCGCGGAGGCTTCTGGCGAAGACAACTTTCACGATGTGTCGGTGCATTCGGACAGCCTGCCGCATCCA